GAATGCCATATACGCTCTGTGTGCTCCGGCTGCTTCTGGAGCTGGTTCTGCTAGAGGCCCTGCTTGGGGCCCTGCTAGATTCGCTGTAGCTTATCTGTCCCAGATCTATGGGTATATCTAGGGTCCTAGGGCCCCCTCGATATATCGGTGTTGGTGATGGTGGTGACGGTGGTGGTGGTATCCCGCTCGGGGGTGCCCATCTCGACGCGTTCGGTAGACCACCACCATGGGGGTTTGGGGCCTCCATAGCGGTTCCTGAGGCCTCAGGGGGCCTTTCTCGATCGATTGACGCGTTAAAATGACGTGTTTAGATTGGGTGTTGATTTTGATGTTCCCCCGAATTGATTTTGCTGGCTTGATTTAGAATATATATATATATATATTTTTAATGCTCGACAGTATATGCCATAATGTGGCAGAACGTTATCTGTTAAATCAACTAATGCCAGTAACTTCTCAAGACGACGTGAGTCGTCGATCCAGTGGTAACCAATAGTAAAAGGAATCGGATTAGACACGTGGAAGCAAATGGGGGACTTTACAGAGCTTGAATTATTATGACTGTCATTCACTGACTCATGGCTCACCACAAAGGGAAAGTGAGATTTGGCATGAGTCCAACGTATAACCTAAGATTACTTACGTCTTGGGAAATTTGTTACTTAATAGACATCAATATTTGAAAACCTACACATTGATTTAGCAAGGTTAAATGAGCTTTTCTTCATGCACCCGTCGTCCGGCGATAATGGAAAGCTTGAGGTCAATGTGATTTCCTCTCTGGGATTATATCGCCACAGCTCGGTGTAAGTCCCCATCCCAGCACTCAATGACTTCAAGCGTAGATCAGTCCTCTATGCCTGCGATGGGCTACCAATTATAAGATCCTACAGATCTACCATTCAAAGTCTGCATGTCATGTAGCCGTGCAAAAGTTTAGATAGTATATAGCAACAATGAGCATCAAGCTGTTATTATTGGGTGGGGTTCTTGAACCTACCATAGAACCCTTTTCGCGAATTTAATAATGCATACTCTTCGATCACCCGTCAAAGATTCGAGACTTTGGTACTAAATACCAGTTGCGAGACTCACCTCAAGAGGTACACCAGTTAGATGGCTCTACTAGCCGTCATTTAGTAACGAGTGAAGGAAACATCTTCAAGGGCGATGATCAAAAACAGCATCGGGTCAAATCGTTACAGGACAATACAAACCCATTCGATGAGTTGAATCAACTATCCAATCTTTACATATTGAGGATGCGTATCTTTAATCACGGTGACTAATTCCCTACTGCAGAGTGGCTAGAGGAGTGCATTCCATCTCCATACATTAAAGCAAGCAAGTGCGTGATGACCAAGCTGCATTGACTCTGCAGATCGTAACTAGGGTATGTGAGAGGGAGCAATTACTTGGCTTTACATACCTCATCGGAGTATAAGAAGGTGCTGTGTAGTATGGATACAATGACATATTCAAAAACCTTTAGGGGCATTCTGCATCTAGTAAATTCTGTGCTCTATTGGATACTGTATGATTAAGTAATTTGCTGGCATGGATTAACAAGAAGCTCTTGCACCACTATTTGAAGATACATTTCCGGTAGAAAGAATACTACATACACTAACTTACATTAGTTATAATCTACTTATATAAGCTATTGCGCCATAGACCAATATAATTAGACTACGACAGAGTAAATGTGAGATACGGCTGCACATGAGTAAAATATGGATTTGGTGCGAAGTCAACAAACCAAACGGCCTTATTCTATATGACATGTGTACTGAAATACGCTTCCAAGCAATACCCTCAACATATAGCCTATTTTGAAGTTCCCCAGAGCATCTGCGCTCAGCAATGTAAGCAAATGTAGTAGCTTTCCGGAATATATATGATAAAGCAACCAAAGAAAACCACCGGTGTTTTTTGGAGCATCACGAACAGCATCCCACTTTAATCAAACGCAGTAAAGAATTTACCCTGCTTTAGTTGCTATGCCATTAGTAAAAGCCTTCCTCACCCCGCAAACACGTCCCCATGATATCTTTATATTCCTCCCTCCTCTATTCTTTGGCGTGCCGATCGGGTAAATAAGAATCAAGAAGGGTAACCCTAATAACGAATACCCCAAATTCGAAGCCTAATATTCTTAGAGGTCTGGTAATCTTATTGTTCCAGCCGCGTGGGCATGTCAAACTGGTGCTCTCCGAATAGGCTGTTGATCTTCGGGCCGCTGTGAGATATTTAGCTCTTCCATTGACAATACATCCACAGACTTGTCTTATTCCAGGCTGTATCGTTCGCAACCAATAATTTGTTACAGTTTAAACTCTTCTTAATTGCAGGAAGCTCAAAGGTTTCCACCCTTTTCAAAGTCTTTGATATCACGGAGTGCAGGGGAGGTGGGCGGCATTATGTGCTGTGCAGATGAAGATATATAAGAGACAAAGGAAACCTTGTTATAATTAAGTTATGCAGCTAATTAAATATAACTGATATAGCACGATATCTCAGACAACGAGTCTCTCGGTCGAGTGTTCAGAGAAAACCCGAACAATGATGTCGGTCCGAATCGTGACCCATCGGAAGGCTTATTATGTGAATTTCCGCGCTGGTGGGTCCCCTGCACACTAACTCTATTCCAGTCATTTTTGTCGTCGATTTTTCCTTCTTCTGCTTCTTCGTCGTCATCATCAAAGGCAGATATTCCCACTGCTCCTTTGCTTTGTGTATGAGGCCGTGAACCAAGTTCGAGGCCCGGATGAGTACCTTTGGATCCACTATGGGACCAGTAACCACCACTCTGTTCGTTGTCTTTCGATACCATGGAGGCACAGAGTCGGATCATTGGGGCCAGAGTTGCGAGAAGGATGCTATAATTCTCAATTCTGAAGGCATGTCAGTAATGGGTCTTTGTACAAGTACTACGTAGGAGATCAGGTCATTTTTCACGCACTTTACCCAGAGGATGAACGGGATGATATTGTCTATTCCAAACTGTTAGAACATAAAGTATCAGATCAATTTCTTGGTATTTGAACTCACGAGTAATATCATTCTTGTCGCCAATAGATTTGAGTAGCTATAGTCGTGTATGCCAGTCAGGAAGATTCTTCAAAGACTCGAATGCTCATATAGAAAATAAAACTCACATATGTTTTCACAATGGATGCTATTCCAGAGAGCAATAACGGTCCGCTAAGGCTCACTGTCTGCCAAACACGGCGAATACGGGCTTGTTTGGGCATCTTGCGTATCCTGGCGCACAGGTGCAGACGGGGAACAGGTCCACGGTCTGTAGCACGGATGGTAAATCTCCAGAGCTGAACGGCGGAGAGTATAGTTAAGAAAAAATCAATGGTGGAATTGATTCCTATTCCAGCATCAGTATCCTTATGTACTGCGAAGGGAATTATTCAACCGTCCCCTACCTCCCTGAACAAAGCCTACTGTAGTTTGCACGGATGGCGACTGGCATGTGACGGAGCCATCGGATGGAATATCGTCCCACATGTAATGGAAATAGTTGACTCGGTTTGACTGTCAGTTTCACAGAGATATTAGTACTTGGACTCTCTTAATCCGATATAACACCAGTCGCTTTACATACCGCATGGTAAGGATTCGGCCCACATTGGACAATAATCTGTACAACCGTAACCATATTAATGACAACTTGTATGGCCATGCAAACAATGATAGCTATCCTTATTTTTTTGTCAGCGCTGTTGAAACAATTATACAGGAAACACATCATCCCTGATCGACTAATCATAGAAGCAATCACAGCTAGAAGCATGCTAGTTAGCTTGAGGTTCCGGTATGACAAACATGATATAACCAGGCTCCGGATTATCAATCGTTCCATACCTAGTGGTTGGGATGTAAACTCATTATTCAGCGTTCCTTTTCTCTCATCACTTGACAAGAACCACATATGTCTTCCTAGTCCATCTTGAAAACTAAAGTCCAAATCAGGAAATGTTTTTCAAAGGGAACGGGCGACCGTCCGGTTTCTGGTGCACTTTGAACGGACCTTTTCTGAACGAATACCATATGTGCTATATCAAATCCATATGCGATAGCGTAAAGGAAATCTTCTGTGCCCCACACTCGCTCCGGGGAACCGACTCGAGGCAATGTCCAACGGATCCAAGTCTTGATAACGTATCGGAAAACCAGTGCCACTGCAGCGACACCGGTGAGGGCCTATAGACGCCCCTTCGATTAGACAAATTTTCACGTTGATAAATCACTGATGGGCCACAGTAAACGGAGAACATACCCAGCAGACATGTATGTAGGGGCCAGCTGTTTATGGAATGATTAGTATAACTAAAGTCCATGGCCTGTGGCCTTCGATCTCTGTTAAAGAATAAAGCTATGATGACTAACCGTAGTTCGTATCTTCCCCTTGCGGGGAGGACATCTTAGAGACGATGAAGGGATACAGTGATTCCTTGTAGACTTACGCAATATAGCGCTAAAGCAGTAGAAGAGTAAATCTCAGAGTACGATTGTATGGAGAGATAAGCCTTGAAAAGCTCTAGTTGATCGTGAAGAGATGGAACTTCATAAACCTGTCATGAGCATAGGAGTAAACCCATGTTTCTAATTACTGTTCTATGGCCAATTTCAATGGGTTAATGCGCTTCGTAAGCAACAAGTGCATAATAAAGTAGGCTGGGATGGCATTGGGCATAATAGCGATGCCACTAGATACAACCAGGAAGGAGAGTGCCCATATCTGCGCCCTTTGAGGAGGCTAGGATCTGGAGACAGGGTCTACGTATCTATTACAGGGAAGCATTACCTGGAAAATATACTGGAAATACGATTTCTTCCAATTACCCCTACTGGATAGAGGAATAGCGAGTAACCATTCAGGGATTTTGTTTAATGCAACGAATGAGACCATTGATAGATATTAATCAAGGCTACTTTGTCCAGAAAATCCTTCGGAAAAGCCGTTGAAATTGGGTTAAGCAAGATATTAATCGAGGACCACAGAGGACTAGACGAGCACTCAGCCAGCCATCACCCAGATCATGAACGTTCTCATTGGAATATAAATTGCAATGGGCTACAGAAAGAGATTGTGGTCGACAGGGATGTGTCAGGAACTAAAATCGAATCATGATCCTAGTTAGGGATCTCGGATAATTACCCCATCTACTTAAGTACGTAAATGGGGCTGACCGTATGATTGTGGTGGATCTACGATCGTAATTGATGCTACGGAGCCCATCCGGTTGCCGGCTAACTCACAGACCACGGAAAACCCCCTGTAGATACTACTAGACCAACAAATTAATGACTCGCGGCCCCATCTTGGCACGAGGCTAGCTAGATTTTAACAGCTCTATATTGGACGACCCTACTGTATGGTACAGTGCTCCTATATTAATTTCTTAGTCAAACTGAAACTAAGCACAACATCGTTCTCGTCTAGGTTTATTAGCAGGTACATACTAATTATACATGGCTCGCAATTTTTAGCCGTAATGTAATACACGACTAGGAAAACCTCTCTTGTCATTTCCCAACCAAAGCCAATTCATCCAGATGAACTACAAATGGATACTTTGGGTTGTTTGAACAAAATGGGGGTATAGAAGGTGAAATTACCATTTAGCAGACCTATTACTTTCATCTTTACTCCACCGGCGTCCGTTATTAACTAGGAGGGCTAAACATGAATTTCAAACCGAGAGGGTGCTATCACTTACTTATACCAAGTATTACACATCTTCCCTCTTAATAACTGTAGCAGGACTAAACGAATTAATATGTCATTATTACATGAGGTGCACTAACTGAAAGTGGAAGGTACATTTATCATGAGTTGATATCCGTGAAGTGAAATACTTGAATTACACGGTAACCCTAGTGAGAAACAAGGTATCGAGGTGGGAATAAAGATAAGTAGAGTTGTCTTGCATATCGGAAGAGGTCAATGTGCAACTCTAAGCACAGCGTTCAACGAAGCTGCAATAAGATCCTGCATAACTAAATCATTTAGCCAGGCACCTCAGGAGCCAAGAGTATGTCCGACCACATCCTTGATGAATGAGCTGCGGCTATTCAGTACTGACGCAGCCAATATTGTATGGCTGCTACTAGTTCTAGTTCTTATGCCCCCTAGGCGTTCGGCTAAGCTAATCGGAAATATTGGCATAACATCCCTGTAGCTATGACACTCTCGAAGCCATATCGTAGAGACTGACCTATTCAGCCAAGAAGACCAGTGGGTGAGTCTACACGACGGTATCTGTGTTATCTAACAAAATGGGCCAAAAAAAAAATAAAAATAAAAATTGGAGCATACTAGCCACCTCAAGGTTTTCTCATTTCGATCAGTCCTTCTCCAACTTCCGGGTATGCTTCAAATGTCACCTTTAGTCCTGCTAATGCAGCCATTTGGCGCCACTCGACCGCACTTCTCTCCCGCCCCCCGTATAATGCAATCATGGCTGAATGCATCTTGGCATAATTTACATTCTTTGCAAACTCATGAATCAAGATACGCGAATGAGAGGCCATAGCTCCAGATATCTTCTGCAACAGACGCGCAGCTTCTAGATCCGACAAGTTATGAAGAATATGCGCGAGGTGGTAGACCAAGGCTCCTCTGATGGGTTGTGGGGTGTCCTCCTTATAATTCCATGTGGCTAGCGTAATACCAGGAATTCCTATGATGTCTTGATTAAACTCTTGTACCACAAGGTCGGAGGCTTGCAAATTCGGATATGCCGCTTTTATGTCCAGCAACAACTCTCCACGGCCCCCACCAATATCGACCATAATAGCCGGCACACCGTCTCCTGTCTCGTTGAGTACGGACTGTAAGTCGTATCCGAGTGCCCTAAGGCGATCTGGGGCACTATTTGTCTTCATGAACTTGCCAACCATGAAGTGGTTGAAGCTGTCCATCCGGCCTTCAGCAGCCATGATGGAGTAAGTGTGTTGCTTTGCTAGCTCCGCCTCGCCCATCAAGCGATAAGCGTATTGGTAGGGTGTATCCAGCTCTTTGAAGGGGTATTCGAAGTTATCTGCTTTCAGCTTCCGCATCAAGAATGCAGCGCTGAGAAGAGCTTCAGTGGTACTATAGCCGGTTAGCATAGTTTCGTAGGGTCGAATTTGGAGAATATGTGACTCTACTATGAGGGAGATCTTACAAGTGAAGTGCTCCATGCTGGGCAGAGGGCATGGTAGCCAAGTGTTTAGTGATTGCATTTGCGCTGTACAGATCGTCTCCGACAAGGTCAACGAAACCCAGACCGGACATAGCATATAGGGTATCCTCTGTAGGGAAGTGAAGTGAGTCGCACACGTCTCATTCTATGTTGTAGTTCATTTTTCAAAGGAACAGTCTTACGAACTAAGCGTAAACCTATAGGTCAGAGTTAGAGGTGACTATGTTTCATGGTGAAGAAGACATGAGACACACATGGTACATCATTTTCAGCCTTATCACTGTTGCTACTTCTATAAGCTGCCAGAACATCTTCTCCGGTCGCTGGGCCTTCGATCCTTGCCAAGGTGTCAAAGAGATTGAAATGCACGGCAACTGGTACGAAACCAAGTGCAGCGACCTTAGCATCATGAAGTGAGCATACCAGATCAATGAAAACAATGATTTCGAGACAAACCGAAGTAACTGTGCTCGCAAGAGCTGCCCCAGGTGGAAGTGAAGACATTTTGGTGTCCGCAACCAACGAGCAAAACACACTTTACTTTTCCGTATGCGAACCGAGTCCCACGTTCGACACACAAGGATCAAATCAATCCAAATTGAATTTCTAGTAACGAATTTTAGATCGTCGTCGGGCTAGTTTCACGGTTATATTATGTTGGCGCAATGATGCAAACTAACGGTAAATTACCCACGGTATAAAACGACCGGAAAAAAAGTCTTGCGTTTGCGTCTCCAACGCTAACCACTCGCTAAAAGTCCCTAGACTGATTAATCCCTGCCAGTCATTTTTGAAGTTACCCAATCAGCCACCTTCGTCTATAGTGGTGTTACGCGGTGCAATAGGCTTCACTTTTTGTTCTTGATCAAATTCTATGCATGGTCTAGTTCGGTCGAATTCCCGGAAAAGCCGATGGTGGTTGCGAATTTCGACCGATCAGGTAACATCTTCTGTCTGTGGTCGTCTCGCTTGATCATTCCTAAAAACTGGACTGAAGCATAATGCATGTTAGACTACCACTTAGTAGTAGTAGTAGTAGTAGTAGTAGTAGTAGTAGTGTTACTGCAAGGAGTTGGGTGATGCAATACCCACGTGGTCCCGCCCACCTCATCTAATGTTCCTACCAATCTTCCTCTTGAACATCCTTCAGCCAACCTTTCTGGTACCATCATAAGTCCGTAAAGAAAGTCAACTCAAAGTGTCTTTAACCTACGGTCTGAGTTGCCGTACCAGGGACAATGAGTGAACTAAAGGTTGAGCAGCCAGCATTTTCGATGGACGAGCTCGACAGGACTGTGCCGGAAAAGGTTGAGTCTCATGTTACCACCCTTGAAGATGATGAGAATCGCAATCCTCGGAATTGGAGTCCAACTAAAAGGCGCTTGATGTTCATAGCGCTCATGTCAAGCTCTATCCTGGCTGATGGGTATGTGCTGAACAGTCTTAGACTCCGGGAGACGCACCACCTACTAACTATTTTCGCAGTGGAATGACATGGGGATCGACTTTAATTGTTCCTCAGGCCATGGAGTGGGGTATCAGCGTTAACCATTCAGCGACAAGCATGAATTACGGTATGCTGCTGCAAGGAATAGGTGGTCTTATAGCTATCCCCTTGATTGAAACCTATGGACGGTAAGTGTCATCTTGCTAGGCTTCTAGAGGCGTCGGCGTAAGGATTAAGATCAAAACAGTCTTCCTGTTTGGTTATGGCCACAGTTTATTACCACCTTCATGGTCCTCGGTGCGACACTTTCAAATGATTACGACACGTTTACCGCATTTCGATCTCTCCAAGGGCTATTTGGCACGGTCCCACAAGTTGTCGGTTTGCCGATCATTCATGACATGTATTGTCCCGAAGGTATGCAAAAAAGAGAACCGGCCTAGGTACACTCTAGGGAACCCATACTCACAAAAGTCTGCAGATTGGCCCCAGATGATTAACATTTGGTACGAGTCACACATCTAAAGATCAACCTTGTTTGGTTTGATAATTAGCCATCTAACAGACTCTTCCAGGGGAACTACGTTCTTGATAGGTCCTTTTATTGGACCCGCTCTAGCTGGATATATAGGTGCAGGCAGCAACTGGAAGGTTTCATTTGGAATTCTGACGGTCTTCTACGGAATATCCACCATTTTAATATTCATGTTTGGTTACGAAACCTACTTTGTTAAAGGACAGCAATGCCAACGCAACTCCCGCTTACAATCCATTCTTGGAATCAAGAACCACAACTTACCTGTTGGCCGAACTCTGGGCTACTGGACTAAGTTATTGGTCATCTATATCTTCAAGCTACCACTTCTCTTGACTGGCATTGCAACTATGGTGAATTTTTGCTGGCCAATTGGTATGTTATGCTTTTGTTCCGATTTGCTTATCAAATTTCGATTCTGATCTTGCTAAGGCATCACTGTTACCGTTTCAACGTTCGTTGCCGAACCTCCTTATCTCTTCAATACGGTTCAGTCCGCCTCGTTGCGATGGGCGCCCATCATCGGTGGCTTGATCGGTACTTATTTCCCGCGCTCCACCCTCTTTTTCAGTTTCTTCTTTTAGAAGAATGGGAAAGAAAGCGTATGAACAATATCTAACAAGTGGAGCAGGATATGCCTTTGGTTATTGGTTCAACAGATGGATTGAGAGGTCTCGCCGAATCACCTGGCGTCCTGAATACCGCCTGCATGGAGTCTGGATTGCTATCGGAACCATGGCATGCGGTCTCTTGACGTATGGTTTCACCCTCAACTACGGCAAGCATTGGATTGGCCTAGCATTTGGTTGGGGGATGGTTGTAGCGGGTATGATTGCTAGCACAGTGTTAGTACTCCCTTGTCTCATCGATTTAGATAGTACATACTCACTTATATCGCCTTCTTTAGGTCCATCACCGCATATAACCTTGAGAAATACCCTGATCAATCAACTGTTGTGTCTGCCATTATCAACGCATGGCGTACGGCAAGTGGGTTCTCCGTTGGGTATTTCCAGCCTGCTTGGATTGCGAGAAATGGCATCTCAGCTGTTTTCGGCACCCAGGTTGCTGTTGTCGTTGTAGTATTAATCCTTACTATTACTCCTGTTATTGCTATCGAGGGTCGGAAAGCTAAGGCCCAAGTGGCCCGCGCATGATCATTGTGAAAAACGTAGTAATTCAAGATTTGTCCTGATTTTTACTAGAATTTCTAATCTTGTTATCACCTTTCTGCAGTTATATATGGGAAGACATATGACCCTGAGTTGACCTCAGAGGTAAAGCGCTGTTCGGCGCGAACTTGCGAGAATTAGATTAAAACACTCTCGTATAAACATTTGTCCTATTGGCTGTTTGATTCAACATACCTTACATATTTTATAATACAATCAAGAGCTCACGTCAATAATATTATTCACAGATTGAAGGCGGCTCCACGAGGCGTTCTTTGGCAGGCAACCTTATTAAACTGTGCTGACAGCCTGTCAGCAGATCATGGCACTAGCAAGGCAACTGCGTTTTATAAAAAACTGCAAACCTCCATTGTTCCTTCAATAAAACCTTGAGTATCATCATTAATCGATATTTAACCTCTCCAGAAAAGATATAGAAACAATCATGTCCGCCGACTCTAATTCCCCGCGCGCTATTGCCCATCGCTACATCTCCAACTCTCGTTTCCACCGCCGCTACACACTCCCCGCCACGGCGGATCATGACAGCCTCACTTTCACCTATGCGGATGTCGGATTCACTTCAAACTCGACGAATCTGAATCCTCAAACCATCCTCTTTATGCCAGGCATGTTCGCTTCCCGGTACCTCGGCGTATTTATACATGCAATCGCAGAGAAACTAGGCGTGCGTGTTTTGATTGTCGATCGGTTAGTCCACTCAGCCCAACAGCTGTAATAATTCACAATGCTTACCATCCAAAACAGCCCCGGGATGGGCAATTCCACCGACGTCCCGCTAGACCAACGACTCTCCGTCTGGGTCGAATTAGTGCCCCGTCTCCTGGCGCATCTAGAAATCGAACATGTAGCGCTGGTCTCACATTGCGCGGGGACCATCTACCTATTGAATACCCTGTTTTATTGTCGTGAGCTTCTTCATCCGGAGAAGCCGTTCGTCGCCTTTTTAGGTATATCTTTTTTTTTTTTTCATCTCCTTTTCTATTTCTTCAATCAGCCACCCACATGTATACTCAATGCTAACAAGGATAGCACCCTGGGTTGACCCCTCTTATTCCTACGTCACGTCCATGCAAATGGCCCAATATGTACCAGTAAAAGCATTCAGCGTGTGGAATCTGATTCCAAAGTTCTTTCTTTTGAAAGCGGGTCCGGCTTTTACATCGAGTGGAGTTGCTATCACGAAGACCTCGAATGTTATCTCCTCCGGCTCTGGTTTCAGTAGCGCTGGCGAAAACGATACGGAGTTGGAGAGAAACCGGCGGCAGATTGAGAACGAGTACGGACTCTCTCGAGATGTGCAGGCCGAGCTCGATAGTTTGATGTTCCAGTTCATGTTCGAGGAAAGCACTGTCGGTGCAAACAGTGAGGCTTTACAGTGCTTGCGGAAGGGACCTGATAGTGGGAAGACGTGGGGAAAGTGCGAGGACTATGGGGCCTATGTGAAGGAGTTGGTGGATCTTGAGAGAAGGAGACTTAGACGGACAGGAGAGGAAAAGCTGAAGGTAAGGGCGTATTTCGCGGGGAACGACTCGATGATTGGGAAAGCTGGCCAAGAGTACGTGGAGAAGTGTTGGGCAGGTAATACGGGGGAATTCAAGGATGCGCTTGATTTCGAATCGATGACCTTTGCAGAACTGGAGCACGACAGTTTAGTTCAGTCTGCTGAAGTTTTGAAGAACATTTTCCTCCATGCAGGAGGAACTATGCCGAATGATACTGAATGAGATTGAGTTCTCCTTAGGCCAAACTGGTTATATATACTATCTGGAAAGGACTCTACTGGATTCTGGAAGTCACGGCGTATCCGCCAAACATTTACAATGCTCACACTCTCTACATATACTCAGCTTCAAATGTCTCAGAAGATAAGAGAACGATAAAATTTATCCATCACTGATGTCTAGACTAAGAGTCATATCTTCTACAATCCCGCTTCTAAAATTTTGTCATATCTTAGTAAATAGAGTAAATAGACAGCGACTCAAAGCAAATAGTGAAGTTCAGGTTTTCTAGCAAATTTTGAGCAGTAAAAAGTATTTCTTGAAACCATATACCCAAGCAAACGCCAACCACACCACTGCACAATCGATATAAAACTCATCCATTTTTCCTCACGGGATTCGTCGAATCAAGTCGGGCAATATGGCCAAACACTGACCGTAAAACTAGTTGGCTTACCCCCCGGGTGAAGCGTAATTTCATACCACCCTTCACGGATAATGAAATTTTTGGTGTTAACCCAAAGCCAGTGGTAGGCAAGGCTTTCGGGTCCGTGGAAGCCATTAAAGTACCAGGTGCAGTTCGTGCCAGGCACTCTAGCATCCACAATCCAAACCCAGTTGTACGTGATAGCCCAGTAAATGAAATATCCAATCCCACCAAGAATCCCAAGAGGAGCCGCGGCACAAACAGCACCAAGAAGAACAGACCAAATTATAAAAGATGACCAGAATATTAAGAACCATAGTATCCTGATGATCGCTTTTCCTGCTCTGCATATTCCGATGGCCATCCATTTCAAAAATTGTTTGAACATTGTGAATACGGTGCAGAGAATAGCACCAGTGGTCTTAACAATCTGGTGCCCGGCTTTGTAGGCTCCAGAAACGACCTTTCCTGAAATCTCTTTCATTTTAAGGCATTTCGAAGGTTCGGATTCCTGCGGATCTGTTGACAAAGGATTAATTTGATCATGTATGTACATGAACACTGCCCGTGTGATTCTGTTGCTCTTGAGCTTACCATTCTGCGCTTGGAGCCCTTCTTAGTCCTGACTCTTGTAAGAAGGCGGACTATGTAGACTAGGACATCGAGCTAAATATAGTGGCGGTGGGTAGAGGTCTGCACTATTGATCTGGGAGAGCTCAATCTCAACACCCTGACCTCCCTCGAGGTCATATAGGGGTGGTGTTTCCGCAGATAGAGACATGATAAAAGTCTTGTGCGAAGTACTATTCAGGCTGTAATTTGGGATTTTCGCAACTTGAAGGATTTACGAGTGAAGAGGATTTCGAAGTCGACTGCTATATGACATATGGTAGATCCATGGTTGACTCCATATGGACTGTCATGCGAGAGGCAGAATTTGCTTGATTATGACATAATGCTTCATTGTGGGCGATACTGCAGTACTACACAATAATCGAAATGGTGATTTGGCAGATGATTTGACTTGTACAAGTATAAATGGAAATACAGGGCCTAGGTTCACGGTGTCACGTATATTCTGTTCGTTCAGACCGCTATATGATTAGAGCCCCTGAGTTTTTGGTATGTTCACTCGAGGCTACTATGAAACAAGCATAACCACAGGTTAAACAAGTAGCAAGCTGGGACAAGTCCCCTTTTTATCTACAATCGAAGTGTAGTCTTGAGATTGACAAAATCTACTGGTTACTTCGAAAAGATGTCGTGAGCAAATGCTTCTATATTATAGGCCTATATAAAAAATGCTTTCATGAAATAAGATCCCAACAAAGTCCACCACCAACATTTAGCCAGAAAGCCATGAATAATGCCAAGTGTCTATTGTTCAACCTGATTCATCAGAAGATGCCAGGAAACCGCCATGAAAACCCAAACTCATCAACACTCCCAGAGGATGGTACAACTGATCTCTAAACATCGGACTCCCATTAAGTCGGAGCTTATTTTCTCCAGAGCAATAATGGTAGAAGAATAATGAGGCCTGCCGCAACCAAGATAACTATAACAACGCTGACCTCACCGCATGATATGGATGATCTCTTATGGGTGAGTTCCGAAGTATTATGACAGCAAGTATTGCGGCGCTGCTCAGACACTCGTTGAGAATTGTTGGTTTCTGGCTTTGTCTCATTTCCATCTGTGTGATTTTAGTTTCCATTCTGAGTCCATGCCACAATTTTGTCTTACCAATGTGCCGCATCCATTCATTGTCCGACTCCGGGTCCTCGAGAGGATTGTCGGGAACTCCAAAGATATATCTCTTCTTCTTCGGGGCCTTCTTCGCTTCGTTCATAGTAGAAAACTGAAAGCCATCCCCTCTTTCCAGGCCAACGTCTCGGAAGGGTGTGCTTCCCAAGACCGGGCTCCTCTGACTTGACCGTTGGTATGTGGGCTCGGGGAGATCAATTGTAACCTGTTGCCTGGGAGGCATGCCTTTTCCCAGGTCCTTCTCATGCGCTAGTTTGGCTTGTGTATATCCAGGCATGATGGGCTGTAGTCTCGAGTGGTGCGTACTTGTGAAAGTGGTTAAGTTAAAGTGTAGTTGTGCGTTGAGAAGCCCTCTGAAGGAGAGAGGCTAGGTAGAAGATGTGATGACTAGTTTCGAGAACGTCATAAATAGACGTCAACTCACTGGGATGTGCATGGGTGACATAATTTGTAGGTGGTGTATGCCGTCAAGCAGATTAAGCTGCGGTCTGCCTCAATAAAATGGCGATGAATGATGTCTAGGGATGCAGAAACTATCATGCAATAAAGAGACGCGGAAATAAAACGTCATTCCATTCGACTACCTAGAAATGCCCAGACACCATAGGCGTCTCTATAGGGTAGTTTATAGAGTATTCCCAGGTTGACAATAGACATATATTTACTAAACTATGATCAATATAGGACCATCCCCATGTTTTCAAATAGGGCATATGCCATAGCATCCAGTCCTGCGATATTCTAACTGGTCAGGTGTCAATGATACCGTATCATTGATTTACATCGGTTCGATCAGGTAGCCAAAAGACTAGCATTTACACTGTCTGGTATCCGGCATACAGACTATTAGAAGGTCTCCCTGGCGTGGAATGAATTGGTGAAACGGGTTAGAGCGAAGAAATATCTATATCAGAAGTTTAGAACCACTAGTGCTCAACATTTCGATGTCGAGATGTTGGCACGGAGAAAATAGCGTCACTAATTCGACGAGTTACTATAGAGCTATATCAAAGGGAAACTTAAAAAAAGAAAAACAGAGAGCTTCTGGATACTGTGTAGTATCTGGATGCTGCAAAAAAGCAATGACCAGACTGGGGCTCGATCCCAGGACCTTATCGGTGTTAACGATACGTGATAACCAACTACACCATCCGGCCAACTGTTGAGGAACAACTTAGACTTTTGACTACAGGAGCTAAAGCTAATACCCAAGCTGAAATTGTGACTGCCATCTCGTGGCAGCTACTAATTAGCCCTAAGTGGTACAGTCAAACAAGAAATCAGAGAAACTTCAGCCCTGGTACATTGGACAACTATCTCCAAAATGCAAACCGTCGGCTCAAACCTAATTGGCTATATATGGTCATTCTTAAGCTGTGACAACATAATTAAGTTAGGAGACAAGTTATGAGGTTTCTATTCTCCTTCGTCACCAAACCAGGGAACAACGCCTACTACGAGACTGGATTTTCAAGGCTCAATCTATTCATTGTTAAAGAAAATTCACTCTTTCGGTTCTCTTTCAACCCTTTACGACTCTTCCTTGCTGTTGATGGCTTTATCAAATCCAAAGGCAATACTACCGTCGAAGAGGCTATTGTTGAATGCGGGCCACATCCCAGTAAAAGCTCCATGATATCCCTATAAACCCCATCAGCTATTATCAGAGCAGATTGAGGCCCTCCCAATTCTGATTAGTGATGTCCAAGTGCTTTTCGAGGAGATGGTGGACTATGGCCTTGTTATCAGAAGAGCAGGCTAACCCGAGAGCATTATCACTTGGATGCTCCATGTTCGCGTCCAGTAGGGCCCCAGAATGGACAAAGTAGCACCCAATGTCCAGAAATTTAGCATATATAGCCGCATCCAACAGTGTTGCTTTCTCTCCATTCTATAGGTTTGGGTTGGCTCTACTCTCCAATAGCTTCTCCACGGTAGTAAAGTACTCATTGGACTCTGCAATAAGAAGCGGTATTGCAGATTTCTTGTCAATTACGTTAACTTGGGCGTCATGCTGATAAGCCACGAAACAATATCTTAATTCCTTAACCCAAAGGCTTGATACTAGAAAGTCAACCCTCGGGCATATCCATATTTTACAATCTTGATATCAGCTTCGTGTTCGCACAATGGCTGTGCCATCTTCACGTGTCCTTATCTGTAGCCCAGTACAACGGCTAACTGCCCTCACTATTGATTAGCCGGATCTCCTCATTGTTAGACTCAGATCTAAGAGCTCTGCCAGCTGCACATAGCAAAAAATAGGAGTCAGGATGAAACGTAGTAAAGTGCTTGTCGATGCAAACTTTTGACGGAACCAAGGGTTTCGTCAGGCTGAGTATATAGTTCGACGCATCTACTTTTCTCTATCGACTGCAGTACCCAAAGGTTTTGGTTAATCTCTAGAGCCCCGAAGATATCAATAGGGGCTTTGAAGGTACGCGTGATCCACTGCATCAACAAATACCTAAGTATTATTTGTACCCTCCTTTCCCTATGGGTCATGGAGATCAGAGTGCCAATCGTCTTCGTCTTTGCTAACGTCTTTTGTCAAAGGTTCCATTTGGGCTGTCATCGGCGTGCCGATTATGTGGCAGTTTGTGCACCTTTACTGCAGTTGCCATGGTTAGTTTATCCTGTCTATAGTCTTCAGCTGCTGTAGCAGAATACAACACGTTCAAGGCATCGCAGAGCGATAAACCCGTACTAGATTCGGGGGGTTGGGACAGTGTGACACTAGATAGAATGGCTTTCTAGTATGTCTTAGGTCGTGATTTACTCAGTACCCCAGTTCTAAATGGTAAATCGGATGTAATGAGTCAAAGACAGCGGTTGATGTGGAGAAAAGACTAAAGAAAAAAGCAAAAAACAATGACCAGACTGGGGCTCGATCCCAGGACCTTATCGGTGTTAACGATACGTGATAACCAACTACACCATCCGGCCGATTGATAAAATTTTAGTTTTATTTTTGCCAACATCAGTCAGGCTCCTAAAATAAAGTCAAAATACTCTAGAAAGCCACTAAATGTTAAGTGTTACATGGGCCTACATGATCACGTTAATTTGGTTTTTGAGTGGATACAAGTATATGCGAGAATACTGCCAGCTAGTCTATCAATAACGCTTTACAAACAGTATCCATATTGTTGTAGCTTCTCAAGTCTAGCGGTCCCGTTAGCAGGGCTCCAAAATATATATCCTGCTTGTAGTGGCACATTGCTGGCCCGACTATGGGGACACTCAGTCAACCTATCAATACCATGGCCCATGAGTTGCAACCCAGTCACCCAAGGATCTCAAGTTCATGTGTGAGAGTAAGAGAAATACAACTCACAAGCGAACAGTATTTATCAAACCCCTGTAGACGGTTGGCAGATTAACCAGCGAACATCAGACATACATCTCAAGTGGCCATTGAGTGTGGAGATAGTCAGAATTTTGGGACGGACATAAAAGTGACTTACATTTCCACACTGTCTAGCAATGACAAGGTATTACCCACTGATTGAAAGGTAGCCTGGAGACTTACCCTTCTCGGAGTGGCCATGTATAGTGACATCTCCAGCCTATTCCTTTCTGGGAAAGGAGAATTTAGCTGATGGAGCAATGCCATTAAAAATAGCCTTATATTATCAAATAGCCAAAATGTACCTTCATCACTTGGCCGGATGGTGTAGTTGGTTATCACGTATCGTTAACACCGATAAGGTCCTGGGATCGAGCCCCAGTCTGGTCATGTTTTTTGCCTTTGTACCTCACCTCCCAACCTACCTTGGAGCTCAAAAGGCTCATCTCCTTTCACTTTTTATCTCACTCCTTCATTGTGCTCGTAAATCCAACCAAGGGCATCTCTAGTCCAACCTCAACCCGTTGCATGACATAGCCGTGCGCCATCTGATATTTTCCTTTCTCCTAGTCCCTATCACTTCATGTAGCCTAATGTCGTAGAGAAGTGCCTTTGAACTGGTCATCTGCATATACTCGACGATAGTTACTGCCTGAAACGCTCTTAATATGCACCGCACATCTTCTTATACTCCGTACTTTAGCTCAGTTTTCCTATCTCGAGATATCCAGGGAATATACCACGATTCCATGAAGTACTGATTTTACAGGGTACCTCTGGAATCGACACACCACGAGGCATAGTGACACATACATCCCAGTAAGTGAAAATTAATGTAGCAAAGCTTGTCCCATAGTGAAGATGTTGTCATAACTGCGACTCGGATTCTATACAACGCCATGACTGGTAGCACCAGTTTACCCAGAATAATTCCCGCACCTCTAGAATACTAGCAGATGAAATATTTTCCATAGTAGAATCCTCCATAAGGTTACACTATCACTTATAACTGCTTCCTAGCTTGATTCACGATTCTATGGATGCGAGTAATACAGCCGACAGAACCCTAGCATACTAATTAATTCTTAGATTAGTGGTTCTTCGCTCTACACATTACCTCATAATGTCAAATATTGAACTTAGAATTCATCAATCGGCCGGATGGTGTAGTTGGTTATCACGTATCGTTAACACCGATAAGGTCCTGGGATCGAGCCCCAGTCTGGTCATTGTTTTTTGCCTTTTATACACCCCACATGAGAAACTGCCCCTTTGCCTTTTTGCTGTTACAAAATCCTGAAGGTAGTGTGTGGGTACTTTTACTTATGAACTCCTGGCCGAAATGTTGGCGTTTCATTCAATATCCGCTCTTATTTCACACTATCAAATACCCACATGTTTAGCTCTCCTATCTCAAAAAACTGCAACCTTAGTTCGCTGCGCTATTCTCCCAAGCAGCAATTGTTCTTAGAACAATATCCTCCTACCCTCTTCGAGCTCACTGATCGTCTTCTTCAGATTAATTCGCCGCCGTACAGTGGACGCATCCTCGCCAGCTATGTCCCCGAGCTCATCATTAGACAGTTTGTTAACCAAAGATGACGAGAAAAGCTTGGTTGGGGTCTCCGGCCCGGTGACAAGATAATAATCTGCTGCTTGCATGCAAATGTTGTCCACAAATCGTTTCCGAGCTACCTTATAGTAAGATTCGAGGATATCATGAATATCCTGAACCGTGTACTCAGAGTTGCTCATGTGATTTAGCACAGTAAGGTCTTCCAGTCGAACGACCTCTCCACCATAGTTGTCGTTGATGACTTTACTTTCAAGCTTACAACGCTGGCGTTCCTGGCGGCTAAAAACTTATCAGTAGATGCATTTGTATACCTAAGTTGTGTTCGAATCAACGTACCATCTTTGGAGATTTTCGTTGAAATAGTGATTGAGTGTTTTGGGCGCCTGGTTACGTTCCACATGGAGCAGAAAGTCCACCTGTGTCAGGGCACGCTGATATTTGTCCAGTAGATTATCCATCATGATTGAGAGAAGGTTGTTGAATACGCGTCTGTCCACACAGACAATCTCTAGTGTCTTAACGATAAATCCATGAACAATTGTAATCACGTCACTGATGTACCCCTTAGCAAAGTTAGACCATTTAGCTGATTGCTTTTTCATGCTAGTAGCAAGCAACGAGGTATTGAATGTGCCAATCTCGAAACCACGAGATGATTGGTATAGCTGTTTTAGCCACTCGTAAATATCGTTGTCCGAAGGAACAGATTCCCAGGTCTGCTCAGTAACGACATCCTCAAGTTCTGGCATGCTACCAGTCTTTCGAGTGTGGAATTCGTTCACATCCTCCGATTCGTCTGAAGGCGCTGTCGTAGAATTTGCGTCAGATGAATCAGGGGTCTTTTTGACACTAGTGTCGAAGTTGTATTCATGGCCATATCGCTCGAGGTCTTCTGCAAAAGCTGTGTCTCGGGTGACAACCCTGGTGGCAAGTCGAAGGTCCACATGCTCGTCGAAGATATCATTCTCGCCGTAGCTCGTACTCAGCGCTTGGGAAGTGATTTCCTGAAATTTGTTCATAATGTCTAACAGAAAACCGACTTGCTGCTCTGGCGTCTCCCTCTCGTTACCAAGAGCCTTTAAGGAGTTCTTGGCTTCCTTCAGCCTCTTACTGATTTCCGACCGGACCTAGTTATGAGTTAGTAAATACGCTGTAGTTGAGAGTACAAGTAATGCCTACCGAAGGAAACTCCCGTCGTGCATTCTCGGTAACAGTTTCTTGGAGACGAGATTTCAAGGATTTGACGCCAAATTTATCTTTAGCAATTGTGTTCCAAGGGGCCTTCTGACTGAAAGCCTCTTCTGCCTCATCACGGTCCGTGTTCCCGTCCGTCAGCTCTTGTTGGTTCAAGTTGCGGACTATTGTCCAACCATGCCGAAGAAATAACTTGTTCCCTACTACAAGATCAAGGACCTTATCTTCGGCACCTTTATCTACCAAGTCTGGCTTTGTGAGAACTCCAATGGTCCTTTCCCCTTCTGCGTCATACTCGCGGGCCATCTCGATGATTTCTTGAGTAGCAATATCAACGTTGGCAGGAACGACGGTAAGCATGATAGACCGGGGGTTCTTCATGTAGCCTTCCACCATCTCTCTAACAACGGCAATATCAGACTTAGAAGTTAGTCCCGGAGTAGTATTTTTGAAGATTCCAGGCACGTCGATGACACTCAGATGGTCCTCTTCCGGCCCGCAGATCTCCAAGCGGAGGACATCTTTAGAGAAAGTTGATAGAGCTGAGTTTTCAGCTACTCCCATCAATTCATGAACCTTTCATAGAGTTAGCTTGAAGCTTAGGATGAGCTCGAGACCGTTAGCTTACTTCTTGCATGACTTTGGAGAAACGACTTGGCTCCAAGGTGTCGATACTCTCAGTGTGCCATGTTCTAAGTCTAGCAGCACGGTCGACATCTGAATCAGATGCTGGAATGATAGAGGCACTGACTTTGCGAGTCGATAAGCCTCTATCTCTGCGAAAAATAATTTGTGTGGCAAACCGAGTGCAAAGTCCGCTATCGCGTGGGAAAGGGAGCTGGGTGAGGCCTTCAAGGACGGAGGACTTTCCACTGGACTGATCGCCCACAACGACTAGTTGTGGGAGAGCAATATGCTCACCCACATTGCAGGCGAACAGCTTGTCAATCTTGTCCAGGAGTGCCGGATCGGCTAGCATAGAGCTCTCGGACGTCTCTTTCTTCATGATGAGAAGGGTTGAGAGCAATATGCAAAGAGTATGTTTTATTTGAGAGTATACAAGCAGAGGGCTGAAAGACAAAATAAAAATTAGGTGAAACTGTCAATGGAAGGGAAAACGCTGAATTATTGAGTTGTGAAGAGGAGGTTGCGCTGAAGCACCGATTTATGTCTAATGGGAAGTACGAACAAAGGCAGTGCAAACAGGCGGCCTCAAAATGATTGGCAATGAAAAGATGATGAAGAATAAGTCGGCGGTTAGTACTGATGCAGGTTGCCTGCGCACCAAACAGAACACCCCATCAGCACAAGGCTGCGAAAGATTCTCCCTGCCAATAAGAAAAAATGAAAATATGTTGGGTAGTAGGCGCCTGCATGCATCTCTAGACCCTGACCTTATCAGTCCATCAAAGGATTCTATACCAACAGCCAAATTGTCATTAGCAGTCTAGGGAAGCACCGCCACGAACGGTGCTGCATTCTCCACATACCCGATTACGTATCAACTCCTTCATTGTTGGTTCTTTTTTTTCTCAGTTCAAAAGACTAATCTTCCCTGCTGTCAAGGCAGTAGCGATAGGCATATACACACCCACTCCAGCCTCTTTCAGCACCTTGAGATGATTTACTCGTCTCCGACCCGCAAACTGCGCCTCCGATAATTCTTTGCAATCCCCAACTGGTCCGAAGGCGAATCTTTGCTCTGAAGACCAGGGGCTACTGCCACTGACAAACCGAATCCAACGTTTTCTTGTCTCTTGACCCACCATTTCCGCAGTCGGGTTAAAGGACAAATCAACACCAGCGAACAGATAGAGAAGGTCGACAGCGTGATGAGCACGACTGGATGCTTGCCATGGGTTGGCTTGGTCAAAAACATACCTATACACTCTCTTGTTGGCTGCCGCAAGCTTTTCAGAAATGACCTCAACAGGGAGTGTATAGCGAATGTCATTGACTAGATCTAAGGCACCCAGCTTACAGGCTGTAGGGCGGTCGGCGACCACTTGGTACAGCTTTCGCAGTTTCGTACCCCATTCCTTGTCTTGTTCAAAGGCAGCAGTGATCGTCTCCCCGTCTAGTGTTTCTACTCCGTTTCTCCAGATAACGGACTAGACATGGTTAGGGAGGTACATCCAGTGGCTGGAATGGAATGCCTATCGAACGTACCTCATATTCTGTGTCACCTATCATAAGCTCGTCGACCTGTTCTGGCTTGGTTTCCCAGTTCTCAAGCTCTGGCGCCTCCTGGATCCACATCGTGTTCACATTGCACTCCTTCAGTGCTTGTATGAGAGCAGATACGGAGGCCTCACGAAGAGATGGCTGTCCAAGCTCCTTAACCTTCGTCTGTAAGACCTGGATAAGTCCATTTCCGCGCTCCACAGGCAATGGAGATGAGAGGTAAAGGGATCCAGATGCTAAAACTGCCCTCTTTACCGGGGGGCCAGTGATCAGATGTGCATGAACATAAACGGCACCTGCACTTTCACCGGAGAGAGTGATATTGTCCTAGAAGCAATTACGAACTTCATATTAGTTCGACCATGAGTGAGATCTGCAATGACTTGACACATACCGGATTGCCCCCAAAAGCGGCGATATTCTTCCGCACCCAATCAATCCCCAGTCTCTGATCCTTCAGGGCAAGATTCCTCTCTTTTCCATCCCCGAAGCTGAAGATGTTGAGTCGATAATTGATGGAAACAACGATCATGGGCTGGCTGGCCTCAATAGAATCAGCCACAAGCTTGGCCGGATCTGTGACCAAGTCAGTAATTGGACATTTAATGAGCATCATAGACTCAGATGTCTACTGACCGCAGATCTTGGATGCTCCCGAGCAGAAGGTTACAACTTGGGAACCACCTGGGTGATAGTCAGCGATGAGTGTTCGAACACTGAGGTCAATACTATCAATTATGTACCATGGATCCAGATCAAAACGGGAAGGGGCCCCGAATTGGCCGACAAAGGCGGACATGTGATGTCCAGATTAAGACATTCGAATTCGTCCTCAGGCTCATCCGGAATTTCAAAATCTTCAGGAATCCGCAACAAGTGGCGCACGTCTACAGCTGCCTGAGGGCATCGCGGCCTAAAACATGCATTAACAAAACACCGATAAACTCAAACCTTTCGATAACAGAAAGAGCACATACCCGTACTGAGTGGCATCGACAGATGCTCCATTGAAGTTATCTACAGGTTCAGCACGCTCAAATCTGGCGGGAACACTGGCATATTTAATTCCTCGGAATTGGTGGATAGCAGTTTCCCCAATCTTGCGCGCAGTGCCCTTGAACTCTGCGTTTAGGGTGTGATGAGAGACTTGCGGTGCGCTCATGTTTTGTGACGGCTGAAGAAGACGATGGTAATAGCGTATCTAGGAAGAGGTTGATAACGATGCTAATGATCTTCTAATATAATCCGACCCCCCACTCTTTGTATTCCCTCAGTCCCGGCTGATAGCCTCCAATGTATTGCCGATGGTCATCATCTTAGCATGTGGGGCCGTTGCGGGGAGTTCCACCGCTGCGAGTTGGCCTGTGGAGGATCCTTCGTGCTCGGCTTATGAGGACGGATGAGAAGGCTTCTATCTTGTTTTTGTTTCGAATTTTCAATATGATTTCAGACATGAAATTTAAGTATGGTATAGTATTAACCGAAGCGGAGAGCTTTTATCTAAAGTATGTACTGTACTACAATGATGTATCTCCTATATACATGAATCAGCCTTCGCAAATCACGCAGCAGACTGAGGTTCCACATTCCTCTGGTTCTTGAAAATGAATCCACCCAAGAACAGCAGCACTGGTACAGCCGACACGCCCGTCAGTAATGCAAGGGCCCACGACATCGTCGCCCAACCGGCACTTTCTCGAATAAATCCTGCAAAAAACGGCCCGACTATACTGCCTGCAGCAAAGGCTGCATTCAAAATCCCATATGAAAGAGCCATGGCCCCCCCTTTACCAAATATATTGGGATTCTTCTCCTCCTTCTCTTGTACAATATATGAGGCTTCCACCAAGATGGGCGGCATGAGGAAAGCCAGACAGGCTCCCAGAAGAGCTAATAGGGCGCAGAGCAGTACCTTTTGTCTCATTGAGTCCTCCGTAACGAACCTAAAACAGACAATGACTGGGACAGTGGCGAAAAGTGCACCTGCTGCAAGGTAGCGTCGTGCATTCGGGAATTTGTCGTTGATGAAGCCCACTAAGGGGTCTATGAAGTGCGGGATGGATAAAGGCACGAAGATCAATCCCTGGCCTGTCTGCCCCCAGTGAAAAGTGTCTTGCACATAAAGGGGAAGCACACTGTCAAGAGAAGTCAAGGCGACCGAGAGGATAAAATATGCCCATATAGTGACTATCATGCGATGCGACGCTAGTAGAGTGAGTATAGCCCTCGCTGGGTGGGGCTGGGTGGTTGTCAAGTGACTGGAATTGTCGAGGCCTTGGTCATTTGGTTTCTCAATCGTTTGTGAGCTCCTTGACAATGCAGGTGCTACAGTTTGCGGATTCCCTTCTCTATTGTGATCGCTTCTCCGCGTAGCAGAGTCAGAAGATTCCGTGGCGTCTTGCGAGGCAGCTTCGTTATCCATCTTCTCGCCTTCGGAGGATACCTCTTGGGGAGGGAGCCATTTCGCGGCATACTTCTTCTCGATCATAATAATCCGGAACAAGATGTCCAATCCGATCAAGGCGAAGGCTAATCCAAAAACAGCATAATACCCTCCATGTTCATAAATAACACCGCCGAGGAGGGGACCTCCCATTATTCCAAGGGTCATCCCCATGCCGATATAGCCCAACGCTTGTCCAAGCTCGTCTTTACCCACTGTATCGACTAGAAGTGCACATCCTACTGTCCAGACAACTGCCGCCGATGCTCCCTGGAATAGGCGACCAGCGATCCAGAGACCGATATGGGTACCAACACAAAGCAACGCTGTAGAGGCACCCAAGGCAATCAAGCCAATTAATAGAGGCCACCACCGTGACTCAATTCGATCAGCTATGTATCCAGCAATAGCTAACATTTCACATGCTTGTCAGAACAAGGTTTCATGGTGCATGAACCAGAACAATACTTACGGGAGAACGCCAGCAGAGCTGCTCCGTAGAGCGCCAGCAAGATAGATGTCCAGCTCTGTTCTAAGATGCGGCGTAACTGTTAGTCCGTCTTGCAGAGATGCCAAAAAGTCGGCAAGGAAAATAAAATACCATTATCTTCCGATAGGCCAACTCTCTCGTGTAGGGCAGTTGGGGTCACAGGAACTATCTATGAATTATGTCAGAGACCATATAATACTCAAATTTATAAAAAATGATCATATCACATACTAGTCCATATAGTAAGATGTCCTATGATCACTTTTATTAGCATATTTTATGTGAATTCCTGTTGATATGACATGATTGACCGTCGTACCGTGAAAACTGCAAACACCACCACAAATATAATAAAAAACTTCGATGATCTCCACTCCAGGAACACCGGTGGTTCGGATGTCCCGTCACCAGACGGCCATAGACGCATTTTTCTTCGGCGTTGGTTATACCGGAAAGCAGGCTTGATCCTGTAATCATATGACGTCATACAATGTTCAAAATGAATTATAATGGGAAAATCTGAAACAGGTAGGTAGGAAGGTAAGGGAGGCCAAGAATCTGATAAGAAATCGCCTCAGTGTTTCATTTAGGAGAGAGGTCAAGGGAAAGGCACTTGAAAAGATTCCTTCGGCCTCGGGTTCCGCGGGCCCCGCTAGCAAACCCGGATATAATACCTACTAGTGTATGGATTAATTGATTTCTATAAGCCTCACAAAAATATTCTGTGGGCGCTTCGAATTACTGACTATCTACTCACCAAGCACACGCAGCTACTCCAGCCACTTGTACGAGTATAGGTACGGGCGAGATTGGATGGTGTGACTAAGAGATAGAATCAAAGTATCCTCAGGTGAGGATCTATATTGTATTGTTAGTTGCATGCCTATACGCCCGAAGTCCCGAATATAGACAGTAATATTATCTGGTTTCCAGACTATCTAGATCCCTAAACAAACCTTTCGCTGCTGTCAAAAAATCATCAATCCAACAAGGAAATTGGATTTTTTCAAATGTCACCCAAGTAAATTTCATTGACTATTATAAACGTAGCCTATTAAAATAACAGTATCTCAGCAGAGGCAAAAGAAGAAAAAAAAAAGAGAGGGGGGGGGG